TTTTTCTTTCTGCTTATGTGGTGCTGAGGAATCGAACCCAGGGCCTCGAGCATGCAAGGCAAGCGCTCTACCACTGAGCCACCTTCCCAGCCCGAGCCCGAGACTCTTATCTCCAATAAACCACTCAGAAAACTGGCTCTGTGGCTCAAATGGTAGAACACTAGCCTTGGGCTGAAGATCTGAGGGACAGTGCCCAGGCCCAGAGTTCAAGCCCTACAACTGACCAAAAAAAAAAAAATTGGAACTGAAGGCATGACTTAAGTGGTAGAATGCCAGCTGTGAGCAGGAAAAAAACCAATGAGATCATGAGACCCTGAGTTCAAGATCCTAGTTCCTGTACACACACATACACACACACATATACCCCCCCCACACACACACATACACCCCCCCACACACACACCATAGACAGTTAGCCATACATATCTTTTCAACAGAAAACTTCTAATGGAAAAGGATATGTGTAGGGAGAACATTTATTGAAATATACCACTCTTTGCCATGTGTGAGATATTTTGCTCAAAATATTTAGAATTTCAAGTAGTTTAATTTTCTAGCATACAATAGAGGAAAACCCAGTGGTTTGGAGGACCAGGGAAACTTTGTTACAATCTCATATTTGAGGCATAAATGGAATATTTGACTTTTTTTGGAGGTTCTACCAGGGGAGTACAGCTGCTTACCTATCCTTAACTGAAAAATAGCCCTTCTCTATTGGGGAAAGTCATCTTTTTTAAGTGAACATACGTCTTTGGGAGGGACACATATAGAGTGATAAGGAAGGAAGGGGATACCTGGCCGGCCAGCCATATCAGCTGAATTAACACTGGTGTGGTCAGTGCTGTGACATTTGCCACAGAAAAATTGCCTTCACATCTTTTAGCTCGCTGGCTTTTGAATCCACATGCTTTCAGAGCCCCTCTACTTCCCAGTAGACTGTGATGGCACCTTTAGGAAAGTTACAGGAAACCTCCTTTTTCTGACTCATAAAGGAAATATTTAGGGGTTGGAGGCATGGCTCAGTTGGTAGAACACTAGCTAGGTACCGAGTTTAAGTTCTGGTCTCAGACCTAAAAAAGAAAGAAAAGAAAGTGAATATTTAGATGGATCTCCACAAAGGAAGTTCAGGATTACCCTAATCACCTAACCAACCCAGATGCAGAAAAAGACCTGGGATTTGAATCTACATCAGTCTGCAAATGAAACTTTTGCTGTTGTATGCTATATAGTTTGTCTTACTTTGATACCTGGACTCAGTGTCTACAAAAGTATATGCCTGAGTCCAAGTATAATATTCCATCTAAAGTATCTCTTGTCTCTAACTTGAATTGCAGCAGCCTTTCGGCACGGTCTGCAAGCTAGACCTTGTACAAACTTCATCTTTCTTTCCTGTTCCCCTACAACACTAAGGCCTCTATGACAACCTTTATCCCAGGCTGTTTAATACCAGGGTTTTCACATGTTTGCTTGTCCCTCCCATTAGAAAGTGAGTTCATGGACAATACAGATTGTACCTTTTCCTTTTGCATTCATCACAGCTTCTAGCACAAATGTGTCCAAGCATTTATTTAGGTGAACTCACCAAATTGTGTACTTGATTCACTTTTGGTGGTACTGGGGTTTGAACTCAAGGTCTTGCATTTGCTAGGCAAGGTCTCTACCACTTGAGCCACACCTCTAGGCCTTTGACTCCCTTTTTAAAGGCAATCAGTCATATGTTAACATGTAATGTATGCACAATTCTAAAAAGCATGGATTTCTGGCCTTCTAATCAACAAAAAGTTCTATCACCAGGGAAAAGTTAACTAACTAAGAAAGACCCTAAAACAGGCTTTCTGAGTGTAAAAGTGAATACTGACAGTCAGAGCATTTAGATTTATACCCTATTTTCCTTTAGTTTTTAGTGGGGGAAAAAAGCCTTGCTTCCATTAATAAAAGAAAAATTTCTCTAGACTTTAAACCTGTCCCTTCTCTTTTCTCTTACTTTCAGCACTGTCTTCCTTTGTCTTAAGCCTTCCTTGAGCTAAATCCAAAGACAAATAGTATTGGACTCTATAAAAATAACAACCAAGATTTAACTGTATGCTATACATAAGAGATATACTTTAGGAAATAAAATTTCTTGAAAGCAAAATGATGGAAAAAGATCATTTAAGCAACCAACTCTGGCTGAGTCAGAATAGCAGATACTTAAGACTTTAAAACAAAAAAAATTGAGAAAAGTGTCAATTGAAGACATAAAAATTATGAACATACTTGTACCTAATGATAGGGCCCCCAAATCCATGAAACAAAATCCTCAGAAAAAAAAAGTGTAAAAGAGCCACTTTAATTGGCCAGAATTTTATTGAGAAATTTTGCATTGATGTTCATCAAAGAGATGGGTCTATAGTTCTAAGTAAGCCAGAACCAAAAAAAAACATAGGTTGTGTGGTTTCCCTCATTTGTTATCATTAGAATGTGCCTATAAATCTACAAGTAAACATACTGCATGGTAAAAGACAAAAAAATATACTTGGACATGATAAACTATACAGGTCTCTAGACATTCACACAGTGAGACCAAAGGAGGATATTCTTAGGAGAGGATCACAAAGGCTCAATAGCTATGTGCACATGATCATATAAAATGGTATTCATTAAAATGAACTCCAAGAAATGGAAACAAGGGTTTTTCCCCTCCTTTGTTGCTGTTTTTGTTTTCTGTACCTTTTGTCTTGTTTGTAAGTTTATATGTTTTGGAGGGTAAGGGGAGCACAGAAATGGCGGGACAAAGGGTGAACAAATGCAGTAATACTAGACATTGTGTTGAAAATGAACTATACACTTTGTGGGGGCGGACTGGAAGAAAGGGAAGAGGTGACTGTTCAAAAAGATATGTACTCAATTGTTAAAACAGTGATACAGGAGGACCCATTGCAACAATGAGATGTACAAGTTGTTATGTCGAAAAACGAACTTTACAACTTTGGTGGGGGGGACAGGGATGGGGGGAGGATGGGAAGGGATGGGAAGGGAAAACAAAGCAGGAGGCTACAATGCTTGAGAAGAAATATGCTCATTATCTTACCCATGTAATTGTAACCCCTCTGTACAGTATTTTCACAATAATATATATATATATATAAAAGATATGTACTCATTACCTGACTTATGTAACTGTAACCCCTCTGTACATCACTTTAATAGAATAAGATAAAAAAATTTAAATATTAAAAAAGAGCCAATTCAATAATGATAGTTAGAGACTTCAATGCCTTCACTTTGGCTGAGTGTCCATGGCTCATACCTATAATCCTAACTACTCAGGAGCTAAGACTTGAGGATCATAGTTTGAAGCCAGCTTAGGCAGATAAATGCAAGAGATTCTTACCTCCAATTACCCAGCAAAGTGCTAGAAGTGGAAGTGT